GGAAACGCGGACGAGGATTTCCCTCTCCATCCCCCCCCCCCCGCGAGAGGCATCTGGCGGGGGCCTACAGTAGGTGAAGAGGTGGAATGATGAACCTTTCAACCTTCGTGCTATCTTTTATCGGCCACTTGGTCTCTCCACAGGTCGGAATGGCAAAACTCGTTTGCCAGTCTAACACCGCCGAGAAAGCTAGGGGCTCGTGACCAAAGTTTTCTCCGGCATACCTTTTCTTTCTGCATTTACACGTATCGGGGTAATCCAGGTGACGTCTGCCTTTTATGAGCTGTTTTCGATTTCCCCTCTACATCGTTTCAAATCTCCGAGGGCTTATGAAGGCTTCTCATTGCACATAAATAAACCTGCTTCCTTACAGGTTTTGGAGCCAAAAGGCAGGTTTCATTATTATCATAGAAGCAGTATGCTCGGCCTCTTCCTCCCATGAGTGGCAATTCCAATCTATGGCCCTAGAGTAAAGGAATTCCTACGTATGAAGGAAGATAAAATTTCTCGTTGACGCTTGCTTTCTCTCTAACATCATAAAAGTTCCACACTTTTTACCATTTCGCGAAAAGTTATTCCTGAGAATTAGCGCAAAAAACATTATGAAAAGGCCCGAGGAAGCGTAAATGGACCTAACTGTCTCATTCCTGCGTCACTTACCTCATCATGTCTAGATGTTTGAAGACTCTTGTGATAGGTTCACAGCACCATTGACGACACTATGTGGTCTATTAGGCTGTTGACGTTAGTTGGCTTTCGAATTAAGAGCCCTGGTACGGATCCTTAGTTCTTACCCCAGAAGGTAAATGATACACAAGTCTCGAATTCAAAATCTTTACTCTAGTTTCATCGCGATACAACGATATCGAATCGATATCGACAAGAGAGCGGGAAGGAAACTTCGTGCATGACTCCCTTCTATTCGCCTCTCCATCTTTTTATTTATTTATTTTAAACTTCCACATTCCGCAACCGGGTCGTTCCCTCGTCCGAGTCATGGAATCCCAGGAAATGGAAACGCATACCTGAAAACTGGAACTGTCGTGGGAGAACTGGTACGTCTGGGTACCCTAGATCCGGTTTTCATCGCTTACAGGAGAACCTCACCCAAGTCCGTGAATTTTCGACTCGGTACGAGTGGGTCTTCCGAACGACGAATATGAAAGTGATACGCTCTAATTTTCTTGATGAGACTGACAGCATTCAATAATGTATCCCGACTGCAGCGATCAGCCTCGACAGCACGAGAAAGCAGAGCAAAAAGCGCTGGGGGCAAGATCGAAAAATTCTTCCTATAGAAACCTCTCCAGGTCTCGATTAATCCAAGCCTGCAACTCGCACTTCGCACCTATTCCTACACCGACGTTTCTCCTATTCGCTTGCACGGCCAGTGTTCCCATCCTCTTGCGACGAGTGCTTAGTAGTCCTACGCGAAACGGATCTTGAATGCTCAAGCCGAGTCAGAGTACTGTACCTCCAGAAGCACGGAATACGAGGGAACTCTGGGAAATCCTACAGAAAGCTTGGGAGTGTCCGTCACAAGGCATTTCCTCCTCGTCTCTGATGCCACGAATTCCAAACTGGAAAAGGCATTCGGACGCCGTCCGACAGAAAAACGCAACTCTTATTCCCGAAATATGGACGCTGGACATCATGGAGTCTTCCTCATCGCGGAGCGTGGGTAATGGAGCTGACGACGAGGGGACTTCAGGTGCCTCTCCTTCTCTTCCATCTCTCTAAGATGAGCTCGACTGCACGAGGAAACAAAAGAAGTAGGGTTGTAGGCAATCAGTTGTAGACTGGTAAGGGTTCGTGGGCAATTACCAGGAGTAGTCAAGCTTCAAGAAAGATTTTCTGTGTCGGCCAGCACGACACATTCCAAGGGGAGCAAAAAAGGGACATACGCGAAGAACGCAGCCATATATTCCGCTTGCATCCGCTCTCTGATGGTTTTTAGATATGGCGGACAGAAAACCATGGCGACATCAGAACCCATCAGCCTCTGGAGCCTGAAGCGGGCTCCGAGACAGCGCGGCCTGTTTGGAGCGATACTTCGTGAACTCGGTATGAAAAGTATGCGATGAGGGGAGGAGGGAAGGAACGGAAAATGTCAACGAAGTAATTCAAAATGGAGGGGGAAAAAATCAATAAAAATTGCAAAAACTACATCATTGGAATAAAACAATTCTTTGCAGGATTTGAATTTAAAAAATGAGAGGGAAGAGATCCGACCTGAAAGATATCTCTCTGTGCTTGCTGGAAGAAGGAAAATCCTCGGGATCCTCCCCTTCGGGCTCACAGACGAGATGGGGGCAAGAAGCGAGCCAATTTTGCACCTTCCACGTGGGCGTCTCCTCCCATTCCTCCCCAACGGGAGTCATGCTTTCGGGGGAAACGCGATCCGCACGGGTCCCCGGATGAGAACTGGCTCGGGAATGACACGGGAAGGCGAGAGGGTGAAGAAGGACGGTATCGACGCATCCTTGAACGGTAAGAGAGGAGGGGGTATATTAAGGGCGATTATCTCAAGACTCGCCCACATTAATCACCTCCTCCCCCATTCAGAGATGGCAGGGATCGCGGAAAAGGAAATCCATCGCTTCCGTCGATGCAATTCATCGACCCATCTGCCATCGACGACGAACTGTTCTCACTAATCATGATGGCGGTCTGTCATGTCTGTGTTCTATTTCGATGGAGGCTGTAACATATCTCGAGCTTGAATTCCAAACTGGCACGCAATATGGCTATCCTTTCTAGTGCCAAGAGAGGAAAGGAGCTCTACTCTGCAAAATGAATTAGTCAGGAATCCAGGCGGCACGAAAAGTGACATGTCGACATGCAATGTAGAATTTTTTTTTTAAAGAGTGTTTGATTTGATTATTCTTCGTTCCTTTAACCTTGGTTCTGCTTCTCGTTCGGATTGACGGATGGTTAAGTGTATTCGCTCAAATTTCGGATTGTCGGATCTATGTGTATCTAATGAGGGTGTGACGGTGTGAAGTGGAAGCGTCAATCAAAACGGCCACCCTGGAAAGCAAGGGCGACTCTTATCTGCCCCCTTTTTTTGTTTAGGGGGAGGGATTTGTTGTTAACCCTTCACTCTAATGCTTTGACATTGTGCCAAATTGATCGATTGTTCGCTTTAGGCTTATTGGGATGCATGTATCAGCTTCATCCATCAGGCTGATGCATGCTCAAGTCGATTCGCGGTAAGCACCCCAACAATCCTCTAAGGATGAAACACCCTCTTAACTCGCTGAAATCTCCTCCAGAGACCTCATCTTGGCCCGGGCTCGCAGCTAGACTCAACAACGGCCCCACAGCGAAGTGATTTTCGATATTTCTGCACATCTTAAAGAGTTTTCCCGCCCTATTTCACGAGGAAAGACCTTGGTGTCCGTTTCGGCGACTAGTGTGACCCCATAGCCGCTATTGGAACTGAATTGGTTGGCAAGTTTTCTCCGTGAATATTTAGCGCACACACTTGAAAATCTAAGCGATTTAAATATGGTATGCTACTATGAGCTTGTGTACCAAAGTTCATCAAGATCGCTCCTTGGTCGTGATTTTTTTTTTGGCGATGAGTTTATTTTTCTGAAAACATTCTGCCATGGTGGGGAAATGAACTAAAAGAATTCTTATCGATACGTACTTTTCCACGGGAAGAAAATCCAATATTGAACGTTCTTTGCATGAAAGACTACACAAATTGTCAGTATTGGACGTTGGTAAATGTCCTCTTTTTGATAGGACAATTCAACAAGCTTATATACCTCTGAATGCGAAAATATTGCAGTGCAATCGTGAGGCTGAAGTGCCCCTCAATCACGAAATCAGATGTACTCTGGGAAGTCAGAATCCGAGTGGGAAAATACCGCATCTCTAATTCCATGCTGTTACAGACGAGTGAATTGAAGAGAGCAGAGGAAAATGCTTCAACAACATAAACAGCAGCAACACTTTGCACTCTTTCCTGGTTGAGCCAATAGAGTTCGCCATGGAAATCGTTGTTTCTTCGTGCGGGTGCATGAAGTCATTCAGTAAATTGACTTCAAGACTTTGAACTAAATGGGGATTCAGTTTGAGTAAATTACTTTTCGGAACTACGCTTGTACGTGGACCTGAAGGCCGTGGGGAGCCATCGTGAAAGTACGGAACCATTCATAACCGCCATCCATGACCACAGCCGTAGCATAATCACACGACTCCGGACGTAACGCAGAGACATTAGGCTCCATGTAACGATATTCACATTTCACGGACTGCATGGTCAGCTGAGGAGCTTGCTGTTGTGAAGACCTGAAAGTTCCATTTCCGGATTCTTTATTCAGCGGTAGATTATCTCTCACGCTGGCCCAGACAGAATGAACTTTGCGAGACGGGACGGTTCGTCGACGCTAAAACAAAAAAAAAGAATTAAAATACATCATACAGCCTGAGGCGTGTCTGAAGCCTGGGAGGAATTGAAGGTCACCTCATAGCTCGTTGCCCCTCGAATGCTGAATGGACACGCATGCGCTACCTTTCGTCGTCTGCGGTTTGCTTCTGCCGTCTCATTCCTGTTGTCGGCACTTGCTCCTTCTGCCTTCACTTTCTCCGTTTTTGCCTGCTGCCCACGCGGCCTTCTGTCGCATTGCCGTATTCCTTTCAAATTTCAGTCCGTCCCCATTACAGGTGAGTGTAAAGTCGGTCTAGGCGTAGTTGACTTGCAAGGGCCTGCATCTATCGTGTTTTCCACTTGACTCAGCACCCAAGCATGAGGAACATGCCATGCACAAGTGTCTAAGTCGAGTGAAAAACTGTAATCCTTATATTTGTATAACATGAGATAAGATTTAGAGTTTGTTCAAGGTTACGAAGGTTGTCAGTGTTGTAAGGTCTAGGCCTACACAGGCTGGCTATCCCTAACATTTTGTTAGAGAAGCTCGTGACGAAATCATTTTGGCCATCCCAGGCCGTACACGAGGACTACAGAAGATCTGAGTTGGCTCCTTGCCATGAAGTAGGCTTAGTTGGAACATCATTTAATTAAAACTAGTGTAATGATAAGTTTTAGGATGAGCTGAAGAAATCCAGTAGCCTGTGTGCCTCTGTTTCAGAAGTTGACAGATAGCTTTTCACTGTTGCAGGGGCAGATCATCTTGGCCAGAAGCATCTGAGGAAAAGAGAGGACAATCAAAAAGTTCATAATGCATCCACCAAAGCTTGGCGATCAAGTGCCTAATTTTCAAGCTGAAACAACATCTGGGAAAATTGATTTCCATGATTGGATTGGTGATTCGTAAGTTTGAGCTTTGAAATGAAGTAGGAAGCATTCATATATAGTAGCCCTGCAAACATGGTATGATTTTATGATTAGAAAGTTCAGCCAAAACTTTATTCCAAGAAGTATCCAATTTCTCTGTAGTCAATGTAAGATCTATTATCCCAGTTGATGGCTTGTTAGACTAATTGTTTCTTCTACTAGACCAATTGAGGGCTTTTTGTTCATTCTCTGGAAAACCTTGTCAGGCTTATCCCTAAATTTTTTTTCAAATTTTTCAACAGGTGGGCTATTTTATTCTCCCATCCTGCTGACTACACCCCTGTTTGCACCACAGAGTTGGGACAAGCTGCAAAGATTGCACCTGAGTTTACAAAGAGGGGTGTGAAAATGATAGCTCTTTCCTGTGATGCAGTGGATGATCATAATGGTTGGGTTAAAGTAAGATCAGCCTTTGCACCTAATGTAACTGGATTGTCTTTGGCAGCATACTTTTAGGTCACTGCAATTTGTTTTGGGTTTTTGCTGGCAGGATATCAAGGCATACAATTCTTTGAATGGAGACTTCCCATTTCCCATTATTGCTGATGAGGACCGTCGTATTGCCAGCGAGTATGGGATGTTTGATCCAGAGGAAAAGGACAAGGATGGCATTCCTCTCACCTGCCGCTCTGTCTTCATCATTGGTCCAGACAAGAAACTCAAGTTGAGTATGCTCTATCCTGCTACAACTGGGCGCAATTTTGAGTAAGACCTTTTCCCTCTGTCACCTTTCCCATTTTTGCTCCATTTGAATGAAGATTCATTCTCCCAGTGTTGTTTCTGCAGGTGAAGGGAATTAATTCTCTGCATGCTCTTCTAATTTCAGTGAAATTCTTCGAGTGGTGGATTCACTGCAACTTACTGCTAGTAAGAGAGTGGCCACACCAGCAAACTGGAAGGTGAGGGATGGCTCTTGTGGATATTTTGATAAAACATTGATTGGTTCCTGCTATGTGAACTGCAAAATATATTTCCACAAAAACTGCATAGAATTTAGTTGTAGGTGAAATATACCATTATAACATAACATAAAAGAATTCAATGGTTATAAGGTAGTAAGGATGTTACTGTGCCTTAAGAACTGGACCTCTTTTTGAGTAAATGCTAGTACAGCATGCCCTGTTATTCTGAAATGCTTGTGCATATTCCATTGCTTATGAGCTGTTTCATAATTCTTTATCATTTGTGTTTTTTTTTTTTCAATATGACCATAGCCTGGTGGAGATTGCATGGTGGTTCCATCACTGTCTGAGGAAGATGCAAACAAGCTCTTCCCATCTGGATTCAAAGTTCATGAGGTTCCCTCTGGGAAGTGTTATCTGCGCACTACTGCTCAACCCCAATGATTTTGAGTGGTGCATCAATTCTGGCATGCTTTTGCAACACGTTCAATACTTACGTACCAGTGGCACTGAAGTTAATATGGAAAAGTATTCAAATGTTATTTTCATCCAGTGTAAAAAGGGATAATTTTGAAATGGGTGTATTCTGTCAAAAGGGGGAAAAAATGGTGCAGTACTTCAGTGAGAAGTGTCATTCCTCTTTGCAGTCTGAGTGCAGCTCAGCTGCTCAGATGATTCCTTCTCCAGTGATTCTGATATTCATTCAAACCCTGTGTTGGGGGATGAGTTGGGCATTGGGAGATCCTTTCATCTGCTTTATCTTAGCTTGAGGTTATCTTTGGAGCTTTACAGCTTGAAATGTGCACATTTTCCTGCTGCAATTGTCGCTTTTGCAATAAATGTTTTTTTTAGCACAATGACATGTTTTCCATTGAGCACCTATGTCACACTTAGTTTTCTGCTGAATTCTCCTTGGTGTGCTGACTTTCACTATTCTTCCATCTCAATCAGGTAGCAAATTTCCCAGCCAATTCTTCCAAGATTTGGAAGAGATTGAAAGATCTCTACCCAGGGTTCATACAGTGCAGAGTTTTGTGTGGAATATGTTGCAGAGCCAGAGAAGACTCGTGTCTTCCCACGAACTTGATTTCTGCTTTGTGTGACAGGAACTGTATTGAGAACTCCAAGAGTTTCCAATATATTTGTGTTTGACATCAAATAAAAAATTTTTCTTGTAAATGGCTTTTTTCAGTGAACAATGCCACTAAGGTTTTTTATTTTATTTAAATAACTCATTGGCTCTGAATTATTCACCTGACAAAGTAACAAATGACATCTTTCAACTTGAGTGTTCCTTGTGGCTGCCCCAGAGGAACATTCCTTGCTTATCACTATTATGTAGTTGAAGCTGGTGTCTTCCCAGATATGCAAGAAAGAAAGGATAAGAGGGAAAAGGAAAAGCCCAGCAGGGTCCCTCCACTGATTCAGAAACTTCTTGAATATGATGCCATCATAACTAAGAAGCTTTCAATTCATGCCTCCAGATCTAGTGCCATTTCTGCAAACCGGGACTTTTGGAAAGCTGTTGAGGTATGTAGTTATGAACTTTTATCTGGGCTTAGTGCTAGTTTTGGAGGTGATATAATTTATTTGTATTTGACATCTCCCCCATTTAAATTTTTTTCAGTGGAGTGGGCATGGGCTGATTTGGTTTGCAGGCCTTGGTGCCCTTATATGGATTGCCCCAACAGAGAGCCTCCGTTGCCTTTTCCTTAACCTTCTCCTAAGTATGTTTCCATCTTTTCCCCATGATGGTTTCTGCAAATCAAATGGTCAAATCACTGCTGGAAGTTTTTCTCTTCAGGCTGTACCATAGATCTCATGTCAGTGGCTCTTTGGAAAGCTGTGACACGTCGCCGGCGCCCTTCACAAGATGAGGGGGACATGTTTGGTGTGGTATCAGTGGACAAGTTTTCCTTCCCCTCAGGCCATGTGACTCGTGCTGTCATGGTTACCTGTCTGCTTCACCAGCACACTGAGTCTCTTCTTTTTACTGCCCTTCTATCTGTCTGGTGCCTCACTGTCATAGCCTCCAGAGTCTTGCTCGGTCGACATCACCTCGGCGATGTCTTAGGTGGAGCCGTCATTGGGTACATTCAATATCTACTGATTTCCTTCACAATGTGGATGAATCCACAGACATGTTTTAGTGTCTTGCATTGGCTTTCCAATGATGGAGACCATGCTGTTGCTCATGATCCAGGAGATGTCATATTTGATGAGTTGTGATACTTAACCAGAATCCAAATTAGTTGTGTGATAAAATAGTCATATGCTTCTCAACTTATCATAAGCTTTGAGTTCATAACATCCCTGACTATTTTGTTCTGCAGAGTTTGGTGTTATCTTTCCTATTTTATCCACTCCTGTGAGCATAAAGAATGGGACTAGAAATAGAACAACTAACTTTGTTGATTCACGACTTTGAAGATTTCTAGTCCAGCATTTTCCTCATTCAAACTTGAGTTTGTATGAGTCAGATTGCCTTGTGAGATGTTGCTATTTTTCACTTTCTGTTGTGCTCATAGCTGGGTTCTCTTCTGTTGCTGTGAATGCATTGTTGTCTCCCTAAAATACCTCAAATGAAACATCAGCTTAAGTGCCTTGCCAAAGATAGCCCAGTCATTATCACTACAAACCAGATTAATATTGAAAAATTATCTAAGCCTTGTAATGCCCTCGACTAGACATATAGGTAATTATTTTATCGATAATAAAGTTTTCTTGATCTCATGCTGTCTTCAGTACATTCATACAAGTTGTGCCGAGTTTGATACACAAAATAAAATGTCTGGAGTAGAGAATGTACCCCACTGTCATGGCCTAACAAAGAAAATTGGTAGCACCTAAAGCACTAGGTTCCTCCAGGGGGTAGTTCCTTTCCTGCGTTCAAGTGTCAAAATCTTTGCATGGGACTGATGAGATGCATCTGGTGGATCGTTTTGTGGGGCCTATTACAAGGGAAGCATTCGATGACTAATCCAGCGGGCAATGAATCTCCAAGAAATATCCACGGGGATCGGGAATTGGGGATAATAACGCAGTCTGAAACCAATAAGACATCCGACTCGGCCGTTGAAGGCAAGAAGCCTAGGAATTGGATGCATGGCGATCAAAGGATCATGGGTGGGATCTTCGCCAAACAGGGTACCTCGAACTCATTTCACCATTCACCTCATCATTCTTGCAACGAAAGTCAATTGGAGAATTCTACTCGTTCAGGTTCGAATCCTTGGCTCGGAAGGGTAGGAGGATGCGGTGCGGTACTCATACACTCCTCGTATGCCCTCACAGCCGGTCATTGTGTCAAGGGCAGGTACCGTCTCGCACCGGTCACATTCGGTGACTGCATCATCTCCTTGGAAGAAGGTCGAGCCTCCTGGACGTAACATCTTACTTTCTAGTTGTGTTCTCGAGCTAGGCACAGTGCCCAGGATATTTCCGCCCCATAGGTACCGAACAAAAGAGGTACATACGCCGCACATACCTTCACCCGCAACTCCGGGTCTACTCCACTTATGCCATCAACGACATCGGGATCGTGAAATTCGACAGACCCTTGGATTTGGGCAGCAGGATACAACTGGCCAGGGTCGCAAGTCCAGACACTGACATCGATGTGGGTGAGACTGAAAGCATGGCACTGTCACATGCGACCTGCGATTCGAGCTCAAAAATCCGTAGCAGATAGCATCAGGTCATATTCTCACCTTTGACCCAGGTAGTGACATATTATAGATAACATTTTGCGTTCGTGAAATGAAAAAAAGTTATGGATCGTGTTAATGGGGCAATATCTAAAAGCCTCAGCCCTTGCTCCAAATTTGTATGATTTTCATTTGTATCGGCGAAAAGGCAATTGGCACTCTCCGTGTCTCAACCTGTTTCAAATTGTAGACCCAAATTGCATGAAAGTTCGTGACAGACTCTTGTAAGGTTGCTGGCTGGGGTGTGATGGGAAGGTCCAGTTCCAATCATCTGATGGAAACGTCTGTGCACATCGAGGATGACGCCATCTGTTCCTGGTTCTGGGGTAACAAGTTCATTCGTAACAAAATGCTTTGTACCTCCGACGATTCCAAGAGAAAGGATGCATGCTCGGTAAGCTCAAGGGAACAGTGTAGCTTAGGAACACAGAAGAATTGGAAATTGAATTGACTTCGTACTTTTGCTGACAAACTTTTTTTTTACTTATTGGTATTCCATTCCACGAAGTCAACCTGAATTCACTGAAGGAATTCACTCTAACCATTTCCATACTGGGAACTGTTCAACCTCATACAAGAGCTATTTTCGAGCAGGGAGATTCTGGTGCCCCATTGATGTGCAAAGGGGCGCAGGATAGGGACTGGTACGTCACTGGCCTCGTTTCATTCGGACTCCAATGCAAAGCCGACGAACAAGTGCCGTGAGTCTCACTTGAATGGATTTCATGAGAGGCTGGGGTGACGTCAGCATGAACATCTTATCTCGTTGGCCGCTTCCCCGTCCCCACTTCTGATTGGTTCCGATGGAACCAATCGGATCGTGCAGCTCCTGCTCGCGCCACTTCAAAGTCCGGTGACATCCACTTCAGATGAAATGTCTCTACGATCCGACCTAGCGGTTGCACATTCCTTGTTTCTACGGTGGGGATGATTGTACGATAGGATGTATGGCGTTTACGTCCGCATCCCAACCTACTATGGCTGGGTCGTGGAGACGTTGAGGTCATCAGAGCAAGAATCGAAGGTGGATGCTCAAGCGAATTCCGTCTTCCCTGCCGCCTATTTTCGATTCCCCCCGAGCATCATCATCAAGTCCCTTTTCCCCTTTCTATTGGTTTCTATGCTTCTCAACTGATCCATCTGCCCTCAATATCATTTGGTGGATCTCTTCGCAAGGTTCTTTCCCAGTCTTCTGTTCTTCATCACCAATTAAACTATTATACTTTTGCATCTTTCTGAGTGACTCGTTTATACCTGAACGCTCAATAAGATATCAAACTCTTCAATTAGATTATAAATCGTCTTGCTTACCTCAGCGGCCAACAGACGTGCAGCTATTGAAACTCGTTCGCCAAAGAGTGAATTATCAAGGATATAAACTCTTCAACAAGATACGAAATGATGAGGAACATCCTCTGCATCCCGAAGTAGATGCCTTCGTAGCTACAACTACCACTCCCGTATCTGTATGACTCTTCCAAGAATTCGACTGGAGTTCTATCGAAGATCCTTTTTTTTTATCAAAGCCCTTTTTTTTATCACCCCGATTTCCTGTCATTCTAGCCTGCTTTAAACGATTATTGACTGTTTTAATTCATTTTTCATTTATCTATGTTGATAATGCTGAATCGAAGCAAATAAATCCATCCATCCATCTCACGCTTTATACGTCCTAATAAATAAGGGCATTGAAAGCACAATGTGTTTACCTGACTTGATGAAACTTCGTCGCATTTCCATCGCTCTGGGCCATTTCTGTCCTATGTCGAGCTATGACCGTCTTAGAGCATCACGACAGCAAGGGAAAGATTTTCAGGGATGCATTGGTAGTGTTTTTAGAAATCTATCTTGATTTTCATGAATAGAACATACTTGTCATTCCATTTCATGATACCAAGAGCAAAATCGAAGAATTGCTTTCCGAATTCAAGATTTGGGTGAGACATTTCTACTATTGACATCCATAATCTCTCCTGCACTCAGCTTGTCCCCCCCCCCCTTTTTAAGATAGGGTTACCTCCTCCATAAAGATACGTGTTTTGAGGAAGCGTCTCGATCACTTCCTTCGTTACTTACAGCTACATCGCTCTTTCTTACTTTGTTACATGAAAGGCCAACCCTTAATCATTCTCATTGTTCGCTTCCTAGAG